GGTTTAAAAAGTTAACAATAATTAATTTTTTAAAATTTTTAAAATTTAATTTTTTATATTTTTTAATGAAATTACCTATTCTTATTTAAATTTTACTTTGTTAATAAATAAAATTATTGAGATTTTTTTGAAATATTATGAATATATATTTTTATAATATTGATAAATGTTCATTTTTACATTGAATTGTTGTTTTTTTATTTTTTTTTGTTTTTGATATTTTATTTTATAATAATTATATTAAATTAAAATTTTTTATTAAAATATTTAATTGAGTTATATGAATATTATATATGCTTTTATTTTTTTTTAATATTTTTTACAAAAGTTAACCCGAGACACGGGCACCGAAGTAGTTATTGCTATACATGGTCAAGAGAAAAAATAGAACATTTCCCAACAAAAAACAAAATAAAAGTGGTATTTCAGTAATATCACCAATCCCCATGATGCCACCATGATCAATTCCGAACGCAACCTTCGCTGCTTCCCATAACATAAAAAAGGAACTATTCCATCATCGTTTTTCTCTCTCACCGTCGTTTCTTCCGCTTCCTTCTCAACATGTCCTCTGCCGCTCGTCTTCGCCGCGTATGCGCTGCTGCTCTGGCCACCGCTACTGCCGCCTCTGTTGGCGGCTCCATCATCCTATCTCCAAACATCTCCTCCAACGATCGCGGCTCTGGAACCGTGGTCGAAGCCGTGAGGAGCAAAATCAATGATCCGTACGCTAACGTTCCGTCACGAGCAGTTCAAGAGTCAGCTTTGATCGGAGCTAGTCAAGCCAATCCTCTTGACATTCTCGTCGTCGGTGGTGGCGCCACCGGATGCGGTGTCGCTTTCGATGCCGTGACTCGTGGACTTCGTGTTGGCCTTGTTGAACGCGAAGATTTCTCTTCCGGCACATCTTCAAGGTCCACTAAGCTAATTCATGGCGGTAATAAGACTCTCTATTCATTTATTTGCTTATAATTTAATTTATTTGAATTAATTCAAATTTTTATTTGAATTTTCATGTTTTTGTGTATTATTTCGTGTAATTTTATTTTTTTTTGCTCGATTGATTTCTTGTGAATATACTATTATTTTTCTATTTAGCTATTTTTTTTTCACATGATTGTTTTGTTCAGGAGTTCGTTACTTGGAGAAAGCTGTATTTAATCTTGACTACGGGCAATTGAAGCTGGTCTTCCATGCGCTCGAGGAGCGTAAACAGGTTATCGAGAATGCACCTCACCTGTGCCATGCTCTGCCTTGTATGACGCCATGTTTTGATTGGTTTGAGGTGGTGTATTATTGGGCTGGCTTGAAAATGTATGATTTGGTCGCTGGAGCGCGGTTGTTACATTTGTCTAGATATTATTCTGCAAAAGAGTCCATTGAGTTGTTCCCTACTCTTGCGAAGAAGGGAAATGATAGGAATCTGAGGGGCACTGTGGTGTATTATGATGGTCAGATGAATGATTCACGACTCAATGTTGGTTTGGCCTGTAGTGCTGCGTTGGCTGGAGCGGCAGTGCTCAACCACGCGGAAGTCATTTCATTTCTGAAAGATGAGGCTACCGGGCGAATAATTGGTGCACGGATTCGGGACAATTTTTCAGGTATGACAAGCATCCTTTTAATGCACTTGTATTAGCTGGGCAATTTCACCCTCTTTTTATCATTTCAAGATGAAGTATGCAATTGCTGTCTAATTATTCCTTTGTTCGTCCTCTTTCCCACCATCTTAACTCAATGAACTGCAATGAGTTTACACAGATAATAATGGAAAGATTATGAGACTGAAGATGTGTTGAATGCCTGCAGATTACTAGCTTTGATATGCCAACTTGCTGGCACCTTAGTAAGCATTTGACTAACAACCATGTCAACATTGTAATTCTTAATTGACTAACTGATCCTCCTTCAAATATTGGTGCGTGGAAATCACCTGTGTGCCAACTATCTCTAACTAGCCCCGCCATATGTTTCACCTTCTAAATACTTAGGAAATAGAACATACCTAAGCATACAATTTCTATTTGCTTGCACACTTGTGCATTTTCTCACCTGTTTTTCTTGCCTCAAGTCGACCAAGTTTATATGTTGACAGAGTAACCACATTGACTATATGTTATTGATTAATATTTCCTATCATACTATACCAGGCAAAGAGTTTGAAACCTATGCAAAAGTTGTTGTAAACGCGGCTGGGCCGTTTTGTGACTCTGTAAGGAAATTAGCTGACAAAGAGGCAACAAGTATGATCTGTCCTAGCAGTGGTGTGCATATCGTTCTTCCTGATTATTACTCTCCTGATGGAATGGGCTTGATTGTTCCCAAAACAAAGGATGGTCGTGTTGTTTTCATGCTGCCATGGTTGGGAAGAACTGTCGCTGGCACAACAGATTCCAACACTGTTATCACTCCACTTCCAGAACCACACGAGGATGAGATTCAGTTTATACTTGATGCGATCTCTGATTACCTTAGTGTTAAGGTATGTGATTTCACCAATAAGCTCAACTATTTTGCACGCCATTGGACCTGGAACTAATTAATCTAGTTGCACATTTGCTAACCTTTATCAAGTGAGGATATGTCCTAGATGGTCAAACCAGCTACCTGACTTGCTTTGGGTCATGCTCACTAGTGAGGCCCTGCAGTTTTGACAACTGTGGCCTTTGCTCTAGAATAAACTTTGGCAAAGTGCAGGTTTTGATAGATTAATAAATTGGATGGCAGAGATTATTGTTGCTAAGTTTGCATGGGGTTAGGTTTTAACCTTAATGGAGAAGCCTACATAAATTCGAAGGGTATGTAAATGCAGTGCTGAATCTAGTCCTCTTCTTTGTTTGTGTGTGTGTGTGTGTGTTAAGATTTCTTTTGGATAGTAAAAGTGGATAAATATAGGTTCGGCGCACAGATGTTCTTTCAGCTTGGAGTGGCATTCGCCCACTGGCTATCGATCCATCAGCAAAGAGCACCGAGAGCATCTCTAGAGATCATGTTGTATGCGAAGACTATCCAGGCTTGGTAACTATCACTGGTGGTAAATGGACCACTTACCGAAGGTAATTTTTTGTTTGTTTGATCGGAGCCTGGAAAGAATTATGAATGATTATGAGGGTTTTGTATTTTGTGATGTCAATAGGTCGTATCTGATTTAGCAAATCTTTACCTGTTGACCACGTGGATCACTAACATCAGTATTATTTTAACAAAACATCTTGACGTGAATAACATCATCTATTATTAGCTGAGTTCTGTATTTTCACCACCCACCCACCCCCCTCTTTCATTTCTTTATTTGGCTCCAAATTCTGTGCTTACTAGAATTAGTTTCAGCATGGCAGAAGATGCTGTTGATGCAGCTGTTAAGTCTGGAAAGTTGAGTCCAAAAAATGGAAGTGTAACTCACAATCTGAGGCTGATGGGTGGAGATGGATGGGAACCTTCATATTTTACTGTTCTTGCTCAGCAATATGTACGCATGAAGAGGACATATGGTGGAAAAGTTGTCCCTGCAATAATGGACACTGCTGCAGCTAAGCACTTATCTCATGCATATGGTACATTGGCAGAACGAGTAGCTGCTATAGCTCAGGTTGGTTGCATCTTTCAAAATTTAATATATATGATGCATGCATGCATTGCCCTGGGCTTGTTGGTTATCCATGCCGTACTTTGAATTTACACATTTGTGCTGCTATAAAGTACTTGTTTTTAATGAAAATCCAGTTTTGGTTTTTATACTACCTTTAAGAATTCACCTTCCTACAATTCAGAATGAAGGTCTGGGGAAGAGGCTTGCCCATGGATACCCTTTTATGGAAGCTGAGGTTGCTTATTGTGCCCGGAATGAGTACTGTGAATCTGCTGTTGATTTCATTGCTAGAAGATCACGACTTGCTTTCTTGGACACTGACGCTGCTGGCCGGGCCTTGCCACGTGTCATCGAGATACTGGCTGCTGAGCACAAGTGGGACAAGTCAAGGAAGGCACAAGAATTACAGAAGGCAAAAGAATTTTTGGAAACTTTTAAATCTTCTAAAAATGCGCATTTCCATGATGGGAAACACTGATAGTAAGTTCAAATCATTTTTTACTCGTTACTTAAGTCAATTCTTCTCGAATCTATAGTTACCATGTTGTTTTTATGTTTTAGGGTCGCGACTCCCCTGAGCTGGGTTTGAAGTAGCTCATTTTCTTTTGGTATACAAAGCAAGTTCGCCCCAACTTTCCTCGCCTACAGATAGACGAGGTTTTGATTTCTTTACTCCGCAGATTGCGACAACACGTGGTTAAATGTCCTACACGCATTCCGAAGGAGATTTGTTGCCTTTTCGCTTTTCACGCACAGTTATCCTGCCAAAATAATGCCCGGCCTTCTTGAGCGGAAGTGTATTGAATGAAATTGGTAACGGTGAATATGTTTATAAGTGGTCGAAATTGGTGACCTGACTAATCAACAACCAGAAATGGGTATGCTTTTTATATTTTTTTAACGTGTAATAAATTTCCCGTTTCCAGTTTCCCTGCAGTGTTCTCTAAGTAATGACCATCCCCCCCTCCCCCAGATGTCTGGAGCTGCCCTATGGGACTTTGAATAACGAGTCTAGGTTCAAATTTCTTTATTTGTTAAAATCACATTTTTTAATCAGTGCCGTTGTAGTATGTTGCGAAAATAAATGAATATGTTTTCGTAATTTTAGAGATGGTTGCTATAAAAATGTGAGTAGGTGTCTTGCAGAGTGTTCGTGAGCAATCTCTGTCCCTGCAGTGGACCTTGATATATGATATGAGACAAGATTGCTTCCTGTTCATCAACATTTGTAGTGTCCCATACTCCTCCCAGGGATTGGGATGTCACTGGTGAGAATGAACTAGCACCAATAACACATCAAAAAATATTAGATGTTTTAAAGAAAAACTTCTCTAATTACATTGATATACAAGGAGAAGTTAAAATGGCTCATAAGTTATGATAAGTGGATTTATTTTTCATGCTATCATCCTGAATCTAAATTTGAAAGGAAAGTAGGAGAAAGAAAAATTTCATGAAAAATCTAAAAAAAGCGACCGTGAGGGAATTTAACGGGCCAACAATCGGTCAATCGAGAATACCCTAACATCAGAAAAACAGAAGAAGAAGAAAAGCAAGAAAGAAAGTCATTGTTAAATCTGAGGGTAAAGCCCAGACCGTTACAAACCCAACCCAAAACACACAAACTCTCAACGGCTAAGCTAACCCAACACCAGACCAATCACAGTCCTCCTCTAAAATGGCAGCAGCGCTCTCCTCTCACCACCACCACCACCACCACCACCTCACCCTCTTCAGAAAACCCTCACTCTATCACCTCAACAAACCCCTCCGTTCCAAACGCATCACTTCCTCCTTAGAATTCAACATCACTTTCGCCCCTCCTAAATCGAAATTCCAATTTCCCCGCCAACCTTCGAAACTACCCCACATCCCTCTCTCTCCCTCCAGGCCAGCTCTTCGCTTTCGCCCCTCCTAAACCGAAATTCCAATTTCCCCGCCAACCTCCGAAGCGACCCCGCTTCCCTCTCTCTCTCTCCCTCCAGGCCATCTCTTCATTCCCTGGATAATCCGAGGAGAAGATGGAAACCTCAAGCTCCATTCTCACCCTCCGGAGCGTTCCCTCCACGCTCTCATTGATGCCAAAACACAACCAAAGAAAAAGATAGAGGAGGTGAGGAAGGGGAGTGGTGGAAATGCGAAGACCAAGCTGGAAGTGGAGCCTAGGCGTTATAAGGCGGCGCGTAGGTTCTACAATGAGAATTTTAAAGACCAAGCACAGCCGTTAAGTAAAGTTCTCGCCGCTGCTGGAGGTAAATTGCTGTAAAAATCTCAACGTATTTGTTTACTGCATACGTATTGTAATGTATTATTAATCCTCTAATTAGTGGCGAGGAGCAGTGAAGAGTTGATTTTTGAAGATGGTCCTGCATACAATACTCCACGGGTAATTATAATATGAATATATGAATTCTCTATTAATAAAATTAGTATTTTTATTAGAATTTGGAATTTATTGCTTTGTTAATTTGTTGTGATGATGTCTAGACTCGAGTTGTTCCTGGGAGGGATGTTATATATGTTAACTGAAATCGGCTTATTTGATGATTAGTTTAAGAGTTGGGCAGGTACTTGTGTTATTGTTTATGATTTCTTTTTGGTTTAGAGTCGGAAGTTATTAGTTACAATTGTTTTCTGTTTTGTAGGACTAGCGAAATCCAGGACTACCTAAACCACGATTATTTACTGTTGGACGACTTGATGTTGCCACAAATGGGTTAGTTATTGTGACCAATGATGGTATGATGATAGCATTACGATTTGTGAATGTAATGAATTGGGATTTTCTGTTTGTTGTTTCAAAATTGAATGGATTGAGTAAGCAATTTATATGCTTTTCTTTTCCAGAAGATTTTGCCTAAGAAATTGCTCTTCCTTCATCAAAATTATCAAAGGAGCAAGTTTTCATGAGACTTTTCCTCTATTCTATCTGCAACTTTTAGGAGTAAAATTGTCCTAGAGAACAGATTTATTCATGAACGAAATTGCTTTTTAATCTTTTGTTAGAAGAGACTGGATGCGACTTGCTATGTATGTTTAGAAGTGGAGCATCCTCTGAATTGTAGTAGTTGCATGCGTAATTGCAGATATATTGCAACAATTGATGGTGCAGTAAGTAAGCGGTTTGCCATCAGTGAAGGAACAGTCATTGACAGTGTCCCTTGCACTCCAGATTCCGTGGAGTTGTTACCACAACAACCAGGTGTATCAAGACCTTGTCTTCGTATTGTGGTGTATTTTTTTTTTCTGTTCAGCCAGCTAGAATTATTTTCATAATTTATAGTACTGCATCCTTAAAGACATGTTATTATCACCTTTCCTACTGTGGATATAATTGTTTTCTCATACATGTGGAAATCTTTCTTTCGAAATTGACTTTCTTCATTGTCTTCGGACTTTAAATATACTTTCTCTGTTGTTCTGAATTCCAAATGGTGAAACAGTTTCATGCTTTTTTAAGAAGTGCATAAATGATAATTATTTTTGGATTACAATGAGATGGGTTTGATAAAAAAAAAAAATCTTGTCTTTTGATACTCGCTGAGGAAAAAGAAAAATAAAAATATGGGGCAAAAATGCTGTTTATGAAAAATCTTGTTTTTTGATACTTGCTGAGGAAAAAGAAAAATATGGGGCAAAAATGCTGTTTATGATTGTGATGTAATGTCAATTATTTTTGCTGTGTGACCATTTTCTTTCAGTTTGTAGAACAACACGAGTTTCTTTCTGGTTTTGAGGTTTTGCTTTGTTTAATTAATTTCATCTCGGTTGATTATGACACATAAGTGCTAACAACCTTTTACTTTTGTTGCAGGTTCATGAAGGGAGGAACCATGAGATTTGAGAACTAGTAAAAAATGCTGGGCTTGAGGTTGGTTTTAGTTTTTGATGACACCCTTATAACATTGAGAGAAAAAAGAAAAAGAAAAAAACAGATACTGACACTGTATCATCAGCACTGGTATCTGCATCCTAAACCAATCATATCCTGTGAGGTCATGTTGGGGATTTAGTGACATATTTATCGCTTCAAAATCTTAAGTGCGGATTTAAATGATAAACATTCTGTCTTCTTGCATGCTTTTATCTTAAGAACTCACCAGGGACAATGTCAGTAAACAGTTTAAGTAGCACTCATCGAATGTTTATTATTAATAGCAACTTCATGCTTGTCTTGTTTATGATATGTTACTGCTCATTGGTGTTTACATCGGATATTTCTCCATTATTTATTTTATCATTTTTGTTTTCAGATTCATGCATTGAATATTACCCACATTGGTGGTTTCAGACTCCCATCAGACCTCGGTAATTACCTCTGATATTTTTGCTGTTTTTTAGAACATTTTTAAGATTCTCTCTCATCTTTATTACTCAAATCAAAATTTTCAAATTGCTAAAATCAGAAGAAAGAAAAACAGAGCCTGTCTCCCTTGTTAGTTGCAGTAACTTAAGCAGACTCAATGTAGATACGGAGAACATAAAAAAAGAAATTAGAATTAAACATTTGATACATACGAGATAGATGTTCTGTAATAAATGGTGGGTGCCAGCCACAAATTTACTCTCCTCCCCTGGGAAAGGGCTCACCAGTGTTGCTCATGGTGATTGAGGGAGTGTGCGTTTTTTAAAATGGACTGGCCTTTAAATTGAAGGGGTTGGTTTATCCTACTGCCAGAAGAAGCAGGCGAGCTATGTTGGGGAAGCTGCATTGCTAGTATTAAAACAGAAATGCATCCATTCAAATCTGGAAATTTCCTGGTTGCAAGGAGCACCTGTCTGCATATGAAGGAAATGTAATTGTGAGCGAAGAGCCTACATGTATTTTTTCATGAAATCAAAATATTCGCTTGTCATATAGATCAAAGGTATGGAGATTTCATGACCCAATTTGATTCCTTAGTTGAACTAACATTGTTACCACTGTATAGAGTTTTTAGCAGATGCCATCTATAAATACTTACTATTGAGGCCATTCAGATGGATAAAAAGCAGCCTTACTTTTAAGACAGCTAAGGTAGACGCAAATGTAGGCTGTCGGTCATCTAGTTGGGCATCCCGTGCTAGGTTTCATTCGTTAACACCGAGAGAGAAACAGACAAGGTCCGTCCGGCAACTCCTGTTGCAATTCTCCTGTGTCTGTTCTTTTCAATAGTTTTACGTACAGCCTAGCCCGATGAGCTCGTGTGCTTGCATGTGCTCAACAATTGTAGGGTCTCACTTCACATGCTATTGATCCGTGAATAAATTCTCATGTTTCGATCTGTTGATTGATTACTTCCTGTTTTCATTCTTAAAAATACCATGGTTTTTACAAGGCTCTGCATCGTATTATGGTTTTGTAAGACGATGTATCTTGTCCTCAATAAAAAAAAAGAGAGTAAAGGACCACGCACCGTAAGGTGTTGGCTGGATAGTGAGCGAGGGAGTTTGCTTACCTAGATCCAAGTTATCATTTCACATGCGAGCTCAAGGAGAGATTGAAGGACTAATCTCTGTACGCGATAAGCTAAAACCAATTCAAGGAGTCTTGGGAACTAGTCTAGGAATACCAAGAAAAAAAAAAAAAGGAGAGTGGTTCGTAGCAAAAGAGAGACTGGAAAATGGGCTGCATGAAGGGTTCCACCAACTCTTAACATTAAACAAGTCGTGCAAGCCTCAATGGGATCAATTAAAGTATAGGTAAAAGGAACCGAAGTCAAAGGTTTACAGCAATGCTCTAAAATTCATAAAGTTTGGATTTTTGGGCTCCCATGTTTATATTAGTTGAATCCCACGAAGGATTCTAAGAATTTGAAAAGGTTGCTTTCCACCTCCCTTTCCAGCTTGCACCTTGTGTCGTCCTTTCTTTTATGCCGGCCAAAAGGGATAAAACAAAAGACACAGGAAAGCAATAATAGAAGAAATTGTTGATTCATTTATTTTGACGGTTGCATTTGGTCGTTGTTGTCAGCTATCTATTAAAAAAGCACAAAAAGGCCTAGCTTCAACATTTGGAGCATGGAGGTTAAACTGGGCAGTGACAACGATTAAATCAACATAGCAAAGCAAGATTGAACCTTCCACGACAATGATTTGATCACATTTAATGGCAGCACAGTAAGGATAAGAGAGTACTTAAATAAAATAATGCATAATTACTTGAATATAAAATTTAACCCATCTTGTACATGGACTCTTTAACATCTACGAAATTTGATATAATTAGATTGAAATATTGAAGGAACAAAAACTTATTTTAAAGAATGAAAACAAACAAACAAAATAAATTTATTTATAGAACAATCATTTCTGTATCTTCAAAACATTATACCTTATGTTTTTTATTGTCTTAAATAAGGTAAATTTATTGCTATCCATGAAAAGGAATAGCTTTTCAAGAATCTTCATTCCCGGGAGTATTTCATTTCTAAACACACAACATTTCTCACACTCTCAAGAATTTGAGACTATTTGACATACCAAATACAATATTGATTGAACTCTGAAATCCCACCTTAGATTAGATCTTTAAACTAAATTAATCACTACTAGTTTGGATTACTTTGAAGTGGTCAGCTTTTATAAAAAATAACACAATAATAATCGGGCGGCATCTTATTAAAAAGCTCAGATGCCTGAATATGACGAAGCAGAACAAGCTTTAGGCTGTGGGCTTGTAGCCAGCAGGCAGTCGCATTCATTATTTGGATCTGGCATTGATCTCACAGATTACGGAAGAGTCAAAATAGGTCAATAAATGATTACATTTATTATTATTTATCATTACAAAAAGAGAAAAATGCCCAGTCCAAAAATTTAGAGGAGGGTTTTGTGTGGTATTAATTGAGAGATCGAGTATTAGAGCTCAATCAGTGCCGACAACCTGGCATCAACAGTTCTTTCGAATTATTTTTCGGTGCCATCCATCTTTGCTTTGTTGTCCTATATTGCTAAGAACTCACATCGTGTGTCCCACGCTGCAATGCGAGGACTGCAGGGAGGCCGCTGGTCGATGATCAGGGTCGCAAAATGTTCTGCTGGACTCAAGGGTCATCTGCATAAACAAGAACTCGTACCTAAAATGACCAATTCAACTTGTCATGATGGCTGAGATTTGTCTTGCTCGATTTGTTCCTCACAGGCTTTAAAAAATTCAATACAAGGAACGAGTTTATCCTATTTGTGATCATGAAATTGCCATAAAAACATTTTTGTGTTGGTGAAAAGAATTCACTCTGAAATGGGGGGAATGTCTCTCCTCCTATGAATCATAAGGGTGTTTGGGATAATTACAAAGAATATTTTTTTATTTTTAAAATTTATTTATGATATCATATATCAAAACAATTCAAAAATATTAAAAAAATTAATTTAAAAAAAAATATATTCAAAAATTAATGAAATTATAGTTCAACCACTGCACTAAACATGCCTTTATCAACAACTTTTAGCCTTGTCTTTCATTATTGTATTAACTATAATAATTCACACATAGATTCATAGGAATGAAATAAATACTGAAATTATAACAAATGACATAGATTTGTGGATTAGCGTATTGGATTTAAATATCCATTTAAAAAACAAACTACCAACTTTAGCATATCTAATTGTTAAAATAAATTCAATTTTAAATATCTGTTATCCAAGGAAATATCAATTAATATATCTCACACTGATAATAAAATTATAGTTATAACACCCAGTTGGAATCATGAATTAACTCAGTATTTTTTTTTTTATCAAAAACAACCTTGTTATAGAGTTTTTTTTAAAATGAAATGATATTTTCCAGTAATCAAATGTTATTTAAAATAAAACATGACCCAAACAAAATTTTAGATCAACGTATGATTAGATTAACCCGCTGCAAGATGACACAGCGGCACAACAGATATGTGCTCTGCATGTGATTTTAGCTGAAACATAAAAAAAACAACCCATGACGGAAGGAGACAATCTAGATCATGGAAGAACAACCTTCACGTGTCAATTGTTTTCAGAAAAAGATCACAGATGATTGATGTGGCATTGATTGGGCAATACAAGCCAAAACTTCTGTAATGACAGGGCAGCCGTGCAGTAAGGTCACCATCGTTTTTTGCTTTTTCTGAAATTCGGAAATCGTATATTATATGCACAATCTCTGTCTGAAGGCTGCATCTAATTTAATCGCTTTCATTAGGCCCACTAATCCCAGATGCCAGAACCTAACGACGGACGTTACACCAACGTCAAGTCGTCGACAATATTCAGCAGCAGCACCACCACCACATCGCGCGGGAAGGAAACCAAACCATTCACACACGCAACACACGCTTCTCCCTCCCTCCCTCTCTCATCGTGCCGGCCTCAAACTTTTATTATTCTCTCTCTCTCTAGAAGATAAAAGAAAAAGAAAAAGGAAAAAAACAATCTCCGAAAACAAAGAAAACGGTTTCTTTCTTTCTTAAAGTCCCTTATGCTCTCTAAAAAGATGGAAACGGTTTGCCTTTGAAATTCAAATAATAATAATGGCTTCGAATTCAACAGTGAGAGTCTCAAGCAGAGGAGCAGAGAGGCAACTGCTACAAACTCAAACTAATCCTCTCCATGGATCTTCTTCTTCGAGTTCCAGAAATGGAAATTCACAACAAAATAATAATAGTAATAGTAATAGCAGCCACTCTGCTGCTCGCTCCAAGGCTCCTCCTCCTGCTGCTGCTTCGAGACGCTCTGTTACTCCTTCCCGCACTCACTCTTTCGACTTCGATAACGGTCTCTCTCTTTCTCCTTTTGTTTCGTTTCTTTGCTTAATTTTGTTATTCAGGAAGAGAAAGAAAAATAAAAAACTGCATAGAAATCGATTTTTTTTATAATTCTAGATATTTGATTAATTATATCAAGTTAGCTATTTTTCTTGTAAAAGAAAGAAGTTAAATTAGCACGAATATTTGTTTTCTCTAGAAATGTCAATGATTATAGTAATTAATTTTTTTTTCTTTTTGTGTGTTGCTAATGACAGATCATGGAAGAGTGAGAGTAGCTGTTAGGTCACGGCCAAGGAATGCAGAAGAACTCATTTTAGACGCTGATTTTAACGATTGCGTTGAATTATTTCCCGAGGTCAACTTTTTTTCCTTTCTTTTTCCTTATGTTTTACGTGCTGAAATCAGAACTCATATGTGTGTTATGTTTTATGTCTCTGATTAACTTGTTTTTATTTTATTTATTTTTGAAATCAGAACTCATATGTGTGTTATGCAGCTGAAGAGGTTGAAATTGAAGAAGAACAATTGGAGTTCTGAATCCTATAGATTCGACGAGGTTTTCACAGAAACTGCTTCTCAAAAAAGAGTTTACGAAGTCGTTGCAAAGCCTGTTGTAGAGGTAATTAACTCACATTGATTAGAGTATCTATGTTTACTGTGTATGCGCGCAAATTGGTTTTGGAAGAAATTAAAGTGATTGTATGGTTTGGATGGCATGTTGATCATAGACTGGAAATTTTTTGATATACTTTTTGCAGAGTGTATTGAGTGGGTATAATGGGACGGTTATGGCTTACGGTCAAACAGGTACTGGAAAAACATACACGGTTGGAAAACTAGGTAAAGATGATGCGTCGGAGCGTGGTATTATGGTTAGAGCTCTGGAGGACATACTTGCTAGTACAACACGTGGTTCTGATATTGTGGAGGTTTCCTATTTGCAGGTATTTAAATGTTTATCTTGCACTAGGCTCTACTGGTGTTTTATATGTGGATGTCAACTTGTTAACCCATGTTTAATGAAGAAATGAGCATATGGGGACCTAGAACATTTTCATGTCTTGTTATATCAAGACGTTGTTGTGATATTAAGACAGTAGCATGTGGAAACCTGTTCTGATTATTCAATTAAAGAGGTACTGCAATGGCGTGGTCCTTCCCTGGTTTTAAGTTCCAATCATGTCATTTGATTGTATGCAATGAGAATGACTCTTTTAATTGATATTTATAGCTAAAACCAGTGCTTATTCCGGATCTTACTTTTGTTGTCAAGCTATAGTTGTGTGAAGATATTCATGCTAGTTTTAAAATGGATGTTTTCTGTTTGATTCTCACTCTATGTTGCTGCTCCAGTTGTATATGGAGTCTATACAAGACTTGCTTGCACCAGAAAAGATTAATATCCCTATTAATGAGGACGCAAGGACTGGGGAAATATCATTGCCTGGTGCTTCAGTAGTCAAGGTTCAAGATCTTGATCATTTTTCAGAACTACTGCAAATTGGTGAGGCAAACCGTCATGCAGCTAATACAAAGCAGAATACC